TAGGGCTCAGGAGGCCAGGTAGAAACATCTGGTAACATCTAAAATATTATCAATGCCTACTGGGAATGCTTGGGCTGTGCTAGGGCGGTGGTTGCCCTCTCTGAGACTCTGAGATTTTGAGATTCCGATATGAATTTAGTTTTTGAGCACTTTAATGTTTTACATGGGTTTTAAATTGTACATGATGTTTTAATTGTACTATGGTATTGATGTTTTATTCGCAAGTTTTTTCTTGCCTTGTAAGCCGCCCTGAGCCCCACGGGGAAGGGCGGGGTATAAATTTAATAATAAATATAAATAAATAAATAAATAAATAAGGTCTGCAACTCAAAGGGACCAGGTGATCTTGTTGCCCCCATCTTGTGCCTTTCCAGCCCTGTTTTGGCATTTGAAAAGGCGTGTGGCTGTCAGTTCCCTCCATACCAAGCTCTGGCCCCCTCAGCATGTTCAAGTGGCAATGCTCAGCTCTAAAATGGCATCACCATCCTCAGGTTGGACCTGTGGAAGACTGGCCATGATGTCTACTTTGGCCCTCAAATGTGTGACATTCCTACCATACTTTAGCTTAATAAAAGTCTGGCCTAACCAGTCCTTAAATCTTGAATGGGCAGGACATCAGTCACAGAGGCACAAATCTGTTTGGGAGACTATCTGCCCTGATAACTAAACGAGAACAGGCATTTGTTCGGCCTTGGAGGAAAAGTCTTAATTTCCCAACAGTTCAAAATTAACTCTCATAGTCCAAAATGCACTATTATATTCCATTTTGGCATTTCTCTGCCTAAAGGACTATGACCAAAGGGGAAAGTTATTTTCTAAGCTTGTAGTACAGAAGATGGTGATGCTAGCTGGTACCCCTGGAGAGGAAACAAACAGTTCTCCTCAATGGCTCTGACCAGACAGTGAGCACACTGGAGTCCCCAGTGACCCCAGTGACACTCACCCCTCTAGAATCCATAGTCCGTGTGGCATACACAGGCACAACTAAGTAACCCTGGCCAATCTGGCCACGGGGGGGGGGCTTACTCATGGAACATGCTGGCATGCAGGGCAAACCAAGCCGACTGGCAGTGCCAAGGTTGCACGGGGGCCAGCCACTGCAATGCAGGCAGAGCCCAGGATTGCTCTGCCAATGATGCTCTTTTACGACAAGAGGATGGAGTAAGCAAGTGTAAAAAAGATCTGGAAGAATTTTTAAAAACAAATACGGAAGGAATGTCCTTAGCTACAATTCGGGAAGGAAGCAAAACTTTTATCAGAGGGATCTTATTAGCAGCTGCCGCCAAGAAGAAAAGACAAAAATCAGAATAAACCAAGATATAAGTAGAAAAAATCCAGAGATTGGAGCAGGAGCACACACAAAAAAACCTCCAATAAAGACACACCAGCAGAGATCAAACAATTAAAAAACCAAAGTGTTAGAAATAGAAGAGGTACAGAAAAAATTAAAAAATTCTAAAACAAAGGTATTTTGAACATGTGAACAAACCTGGAAGATCCTTGGTGTACTGTCTTAGGAAGGAGAAAGAAAAAAGAGTAATAAGAGGTGT